ATGTGTACGGAAGGGGTGAATTTTATAATTAGTTGAAATCCAAAAATTGTCTTAGGAAATTTTGATGGGACAACGCTAAAAAATCTGAACTCCGAACAACCTTATGCGGTGCAAACCAACACGGTGGCTTAAGCATAGCAACAACATACTTGAAAAAAATTAAAACAAGGATTTCATGCAACTTCAATGCCATAAAACTCTCATTTGCATCCTCTGTAAACAAGGTTAGCCTACCCTCTTTAAAGACAGATGAATGCAATGAGGTATGAAGATAATGTACATCAACCTTGCCCAAAAGTCCTTTGAAACAATACAAATTGTGAGCGGAGTAACACGAAATTTTTACAAGTCAGACACGGGATCAGATGCCATGGAGGATTAAGCATCCCCTTTCAATTGTTTTCCATCGACAAAGAACAATAATTTCCGACAATGGAAACCGTTTGCTCCAAAATCATGCAACGAGGAAAATTGAATTACTAATGACTAAAACAAACTGTACTTAGAGGAAAATGTAACATAATTACAAATAAAAGAATTACATATATACTACATTTTAACTAAATTTCACAAATAATTTCTATAGTGGTGGTTATTTTTTGTATACCCTCGATATTTTTATATAACACAAACAAACCAAAGGGTAACTTAACTGTTAGAGAGTCCCAGTATATGTAAATAAAGCACATTGAAACTTACCGGTCAGAGAATCCTTCTGTATATAAATAAAGTATAGAGTAACCTATCTGTCAGAGAGTCACTGTATATATATATATAAAGCATTTTGTAACTTACCGGTCAGAGAGTCCCTGTTTGTATATCTGTATATGTCCATTGTGTTGTCAAAATCGGAACCAACCCAGAGTAGGTGTGTTCTGCCATCAAAACCAAGGCCACATACGAATTGTAGCCCATCCAATGGTGTTAGTATCTGTGACAGGAAGTTACCATCTTGGTCAATTCTACTGAACATGTGTAACTATCACACACCAGGATGCGTGACAGCGCGTCTGTACATATTCCACGTGGGTGCAGAGAAAATTCCGAAAGTCCTTTGTAGGAGAAGCGATACCTTTCTCTACGCTCTGCCACCACTGAAGCACAAATTAAGTTTCGAGTCGGACACGATAACATCTCCATTGCGGTTCTCTGTGAGGTAGATAGGTAGAAGATACAGTTCCTCACCTGTGTTCTTGTGTCCTATTGTCTGTATGTGTTTTGTGTAATTGTAACGGTTTACTTTGCCTGTCTTTGAATAAGTATGACGTATCCCGACCAGCAGGTCTTCTGCAGCGGGGGAGCTGTAGACACTCCATGCTTCCCATGGTGCTGTATGCTTTATAAATGTAATCTTTGCTTCATTGACTATAGACAGTTTGTTAATGTTATACTCACTATCTATATAAATCAAATCTCCGTCCCTATTCACAGTATGTATTCCCCATAAATTAGCAATATCTGTCAGGTGATTTAGTTCATCACCTGTTGTATTTGTCAAGATGAGATTATCCCAGTCATTGATCAGACGCGGTTTGATGACACATGGGGAAATTGTACACAGACACTAACGCCTGGCACTCTGACACATCTCTGTCTCACTGCTCTAGACATCATTTTCATCAAACATTCGTTATTACTCGTTTCTTCTCGTGTGCGTTTTCTCCATATGGAATTACTAATTAATTTTCTCAGTCAGGACTCAGTCCTTACTCTGTGTGATGTGCTGTCTTATGTGATGTTGAATCCCTATTGTGTGTGATGTATATTCTCATGCTTGTGTGACACTGAGTCCCTACTGTTTGTGATGTGATGTACTATATGACGCTGAGTCCTTACTGTTTGTGATGTGGTGTCTTATAAGACACTGAATCCTTACTTTGTGTGATGTCTAGTCCTGCGCTTGTGGTTTGGAAACAAATGGAATTTGATCAAAATTAACTTGAGTAATTATGCATTAACAAAACGTTAAAAATTTCCCATTTAACTTAAAATTAAAGAAAAATGAGAACATTTTATAACATCTTACAGAAGAAAAGAAACAAAAACACTTTAGTAAAGAAATAGTTTGAATGAATCAGGGTCACACACAAGTTTCAGTTTAACGCCATTTTAGAGGCAAAAAGATTAGTGTAAAATAGATTTCCTAGCATAACATCGTTACAATAACATCAATAAAAAAAAATGAACAATTAAACTCCCATATCTCAACCAAAAGTGTTTTCAACTTGACTAGACTCAAAAGGAAAAGGTAAATTACATGAAGTTTCTTTATTTTATTTTTATCAATTACTATAAAAATTGACTATTCTCCTGATCAATACTACCTTTATGATATTGGAACTTTTATAAACAAATTCTCACAGTCTAAACCCTTTAGTCCTTCCTTGACTTCAAGGTATACTTAGTTGTTTATGTGAAGGATCTGACGCATTTTAAGATCCCTTCTGCTGTGGCGTTTTGACTGCATACAGATTATCGACAATTTAGCCTATTATATTTCTAAATACCGGAATCTCAGGGCCATTAGTGCATTAAGCTTTGGGGTCATGAAGTCATGGTTGTCTACAAGATGTTTATTTTCGGTTGCCGTGTTAACAATTTAGACTGAAAGGACTAATCGTTTGTTCAAATTTCGGATCAAATCAAATACCAACATGAGAAGTCGATGTGAAACCTCAACCGCATCACCAAATAATCTGCTTGATGCATGCAACGCGTAAACGAAAATCTATATGATTTTTTTTTAAATTTAGAACATCGGTCTGTGCGTGTTTAGTTGGTAACATACATTAAAACTGGCGAAACAAACTGAATCTATGACTCCGTCTCGAATTTAAGAGCGCGTTGATTTATGGCATAATAATGGTCTTTATTATTTGAAAAAAGAAATATCAAACCTCAGTTTTTCATTAGGGTGCTCTTATTTTGATACCATTATAACTCTAATTCACAGTATGAATTAATCTAATATTTTGTCGGTCTACATTTGGCTTTCATCAGAAAAGATTTTTTGGGCATATTTTGCATATTTGTTTTTGATCATATAGTCTTGGAAAGGGAGTACTGTTAAACTTGTGTGTTTAAATGACTTGTTTCTTAGTTGACATGCTACTCAAAATCCATGATTCATCGCAACTGACATTTTCCTTCTTAGTTCTCAACACCATCCCGTTGTTCTTGTTGTTAATACATTGGAAAACTCTTACATGTATAAAACAAAAACAATTTCTTTCCCAGTCTTTCATCGTAAAATACCTGTTTTTCATGACCCGCTGCAAGCGTTTTTTTATCTGAGATTTTGGGAGAGTTCTCAGTATTGAATCTTTTTTATTTAATGTCTGTTTTCTTTTAATTTTAGACTGAATGGTTTGGTCTACCATCTTTTTCATGTTCTTTAAGTTCTATTTTTTCTCTTTCTTTTGATTGTAAAGGTCTATTATTGAAAATCTTGTTTGAGATTTTCTATGTAATAAACTATCTTGATATAACCGATTTTTCTTGACATTTCGCGAGGTAAGAGGCCGTTCTTGCTGGATCAGATAAGCATTTAAATCTGACATTAATCGATCTATAATTATTTAAGCATTCATCTCTCTCTCTCTCTCTATCTCTTTAAAAAAATCTTTACTCTTATGCCTCTTTGAGCCAAAAAGTCCACTGAATCAACACAAATCGTGAGAAGAGCAAACACGGACCTTTAAAAGCATCAGAGTGGGGTCAGGTGCCATGGAAGAGTAAGCATTCCCTGACGACCGACTGTGCTCCTTCTCATAATCGCGTAAACGGAAAATTCAGCAAAAAACCCCGTAAGCAAAAATCGTTCCAACAACCAGAATGAAAAATGTCAGCCAGCATTTGACACAACGACAGACTACATCCACCGGCAAGGCCACCATATCGAACATTGAACCTGCAAAATGTTGACTTCAAGCGAGACCGCTGAAATCCCATTTCACCATCCTGCCTGCCAATAGTCTGGCCCGCCCCAGAAACTGTCTGCAGGTACATATAGAGCAGGTCCTTGTGCACCAAACCAACTTGGAGACACAAACCACACACGCCGCCGACAATGGCACACTGCACACAAATAAGGGAAGGTGACGATAGAAAAACCAAAGTCATCTTGCTTTCCACAAAAAAATTTTGCCGCTAGATTACCATCAACATCTTTTCTAGAAAAACATGAATAAAAAGTATTTAAATGTCAGACTCTGATGCATCTTTCACCGCAGGTTCACTAGGATATATCGAATAGACGTGTGAATGGAAGTAACTTTCGACAATATGTCGTCGTAAGAACTAAATGTCGAGTTTAAGGCCACATGTTTTCTTCTCAAGTATAAGTTTCTCAGCAAATTCTGTCCAACATGAACACAAAACAGGCCTGCCAACAAAGGGGCGAATCTGGCACCCACAGACACTCCGACAGACCGTTGGAAGAGTTGATCTCCAAAATCCAAATAGACACTGCATACCAGAAATCTAAGCATCCTTCCAATCCCAACCTCGGAGCACCAGTGTGCACAATCACAAAGTTTTTCATCAAATCTTAAAACAACCCTGCAAATGACAAACGACAAGGTAAGTAAATTTTACGAGGCCCATCCCTATTGAAAAAGCAACTGTCTTTGATGCCAAAAGGCCCGGACTCCAACCAACTGCAGAAAATACATGAGTATTTTTATTTATTTTTCCAGAAGGAGTCTTTTAAAAATTATTCTAATAATAGAAAAAAATATATAAAAGCATAGAAACATTAATACAATAATTTTATTTACTATGTATTCAAGACTAAGTTCAATGAAGACCAAAATATAGTTTTGATCATCATCATAAAGATCAACGTTTTAGAATCAAACCATATTCTCTCAAATATATATTTCACTCCAATCTTGATATCAATACAACCTATATAAAATGCCTTTCTCAATTTTCATTCATTATAGAAAATATGTATGCAAACAGAGAGTGATATATCTTCATGAACACAGATTTAAAACTCAGGGTTTCCTTATCATCATTCTCACTTCCTTCATGGAATAATAGAACCCTTTCCAGGCGTACCAGTTGATGCCGTTGGAGTAGTCCGTGTTGCTGTACTCACCGTTCAGGTTTGACTTATGACATGTGTTATACCACCAACCTCCAAGTCTACCCAGGGCGCAGTTGTAACCAGAGTTTTTATCGTTGTCGTTATCGAAAGTACTGAAGTACATATTGTTGTGGTAGAGAAAACTGTCCCCTGTAGTATATTATAAACAAAAAGAAATGTGTAAATGAAAAGAACGGCTCACTGCATAATGTTTAGTTCTATCATTTAAAAATGTTTCAGGAAAAGCTATTATGCTAAAAAGTTCAAGTAATCATATAAATTTAGAACAAAGCAAACATGAACCTCTATAATTATCAGAGGCGGGACAATGTGACATGGAGGGAAAGAGGCATACCTTATCGATTGTTCAAACCATGAGCATCTGTCTTGAGAGGAAAGACATTGTGACTCGTAGGCAATTTGTATAAAACAATGGCTTAACAATTAAAAAATAAATCAACTCTCAACCTAAAGACAAGCTGTATTTCCGAACGAATTGTTTATATTGACAATCAAAATTATGAAATGTTGCTTTAAACACCAAAATACTTGTCTGAAGTCTGCCCTGGTTTACAAAACCATTATATGCAGAACAAACTTATCAGAATAAATGTCATAGGCAACATTTTCTCAAGAATTATTTAGAATGTGTTCTTCAATTGTGTGACTTTCTTATGCAGTTGATGTGATGTAGTGAAGTTTTAGATTCAAGCTACACTTGTAAGCAGCCAAGAGCAAAAAAAACCCCCATCTTTCCCTTCCTTTCTTCACAAACACACTTCTAGAGATAGAGGGGGAATTTATGTGTGTTTACCTGCATCTCCAGAATAGCCAGATACGTGTAATCTGTATTGTGTACCATCTCCTTCTGTATAGAAGCTACTGTACTCTGCATATTTCCAAACACAGTCATGATCCATCAGTTCAATTCTAAGGTGTGTATATCCCTCATTTGTTAGGAGGTGTATGTTTTCATTACCTAGGAAATATACTATAAATACAATAAACGTATAACGAGATAAATGTTTGGCTACATTTGAAAAGAAAATGTGTTGTAGCGATCAGCTTTATACAACATCAAGTGTAGTTGAGCGTGCAACGTAAAGATTTTCCATATAACTAGCCTTATCGTAGAAAATTTTAAAAATAATACAAAATTTGTAAATCTTTGATGAAATATGAAAATAACAAACAGTATTCAATCTAGAAAGTCCATTGAAAGGATACAAATTTGGAGCAGAACAATTTAAAGGTGAGATAAGGTGCCATGGAGGAGTGAGCATCCCCTCCGACGGTGGTTATTTTTGGTTACTTATGCTTACTAAATTCGCTCTAAAAACCAATAGTGCAACTCTGGGGTCACTTCAATGTTATACAAATGATGTTTCCTAATTGTAATCAAATAAATGATAATGATATTTATAACAGTTAAGTAATTAAAATCAATTAACACAATTTCCATACCTAGCCAAAATTCGGAGTCACGTGTGCCAAACCCTATTCGATATTGGACCCAGTTCTGCTTGAAATTAACGGATCCATCTAATCTTCGTTGAATTATCTACAATAACAATGAATTAGAAAAGAATTTCAGTATGTCACAGTGAAATTTGGAGATAACGAACCGTAATCTAACTCAAAATCTATTTAAACAATACAACTCGAGAGAAGAGCAAACCTCTAAAAACATCAGATAAAACTATAAATCTGGAAAACAAGTAGTTAGAGAACGTTATACGATTTTTTTCAAAAAGAAAAACCCATTTAGATCAACTTTTATTTTCTTTGGATTAATATAAAGGAATAGGGTATGAATATATTTGTATATCCTGAATATTGATTTGTGATATCATCTTTCATTAAGATTGATTGATTGTTGTTTTACGTCCCATTCGAGAATTTTCTACTCATATAGAGACATTACCATATATCTAGGAAAGGCTTGAAATTTAGACCTTTACTTTACACTCAAGGCCATTGAACAGTGAGGATTCTTTACCGTGCCAACGCCTACCGTGACACGGGACCTCAGTATTTAAGGTCTCATCCGAAAGACCAGCAAATTTCACTTCAGCGCTTGGCAGAGGAACAGTTGCTACTTTTTTTATCGACTTAGGTCAGTCGCGGCCGTGATTCGAACACACGACCTTCCGATCACAGAGCGACCACTCTACCGACTGAGCTACCGTGACGATCTCTTTCATTAAGAGAATTATAGGTCAACCTTTTCCTCGAAAACATTAAAATATTAAATTTGAAATTGAAAACTATAAAGGTTGAAGATAATGACTGGTGATCGATTTAAAAAGAAATCTATAAAGAATACAAATCTGTGAAAAGAGCATAAAACACGGACCCCTGGAAATTGCAGAGATGGGATCAGGTGCTGGGGAAGAGTGAACATCCGCAGTTCACCGTTCACACCCACCGTGAGCCCTATGTATTGATCGGTTAGACGGAATATTCGTAGTCAAATTCAGTATAAAAACAAAGACCTATCAAAGGCTTTGTGTGAAACAAATCAGGCAAAATACGACCAAGAGATAGTGACATGAATTCACGAAAAATGAAACAAATTATATTTATTCAAATGGATCTCACGAGAAAGTCAGAAATTAAAATTCAGTTATTCAAAAAAGTTGAAATTCACCTAAGGAACTATCAATAACCATTAAAAAAATCTCGTGTACGTTTCTGTAGAAATACACTTTATTATGAAATCTTCAAGAACAACAAATAATAAGTACAGTATCGTACCGTCCATAGATAAGTGTCTTGGTGGCATATGGTGGAAACAGTCGCGCCGTTCATCAATGTTCTACTGCAGTAAAAGTCTCGTCCTTAAGAAAGAAGGTGTTTTTCAATGTATGTAGACCATTTATAAATATAAGATACAAATTCCTTTTGCTGCATTATTGTGGTAGAAAAACTTGTCCGCTTGTTGTATGAAATATGGGTTCCAAAATTTGGCCTTTCCCCTTTTATTTCTGACTGTTACATGCATATCATATTTTCAATTACTGATAGAATGGGATAGAACAAAACCACACATGTACATACCGAAGATTTTTTTTTTTTTAAAAAGATTTTCTTATTCGCCCTTGGTGGATATTAACGATATAAATGAATAAGTCATAGAGTGCATGATCATTTATTTATTTGCTACTAGCATAATCTGTACTTTTTAAACAGCTACATATAATGCAAATCTACCTCCTTGAGTAAAACGATTTCACAATGTACACCACTCATGATTAAAAAAATTGTGAGTGTAGCAAAAATGATCAAGAAATAATATTAAAATCATGTGCACTTGAAATTAAAATTAATATTTTCCTTTTGACTGAATTTGTCAAGAAAAACTTACCTTTTCGATTCCCATTTGACTGAAAAAAAGGAAATAAAAGTAAATCTTGTTTGAAAAGTCAAAGAAGTTTAATAACATTACACATATAGATTTAAGTTTCAAAATGTATCTTTCAAACAAACCTTTTGATAACGAGTGCACTGATTAATAGCCGAAATAGATGGGATAATGCTCCCAAAACCTGATAGAAGCCGACATAAGTTTGTTCCATCTGTAATTAGATCCATTCCGATGCAATACTGCCTTTTATTACACTCTACACCACAGCCGATAAGAGGAGATGAATTATTTTCTACGCTGAATTCATCTAAGACACAGGTCTTGGAGGGCACCTGACCGGTCTGGACTATGAAAAATCCGTTTTCCTCGGTATCCATAGAAACAAACGGCAAATTTCTACACAGGAAGAATATGAAGAAGCTTATCGATGCTTCCATTTCTTCTCAAAATTTATTTTACTTTTTGGTTCAATTAGAGAAACTAGCATAAAATTTTTCTTCTTTTCTCTATTAATAAAAATTTAAATAAAAACTTCGAGTAATCCAAAAACATATAATTTATCAAAATGTAATGCTTATAAGTTTTTGCAAAATCCTTTTAATGTATTTCTTTTGTATATCCGTTGTGTTTTAAACTCCAAGGTTAAAATAACTCCTACATGACCTTTATCTGACACCTGAGATACAATACCATATTTAAGCAACCTCAATCAATATATTTTGAATTACTAAAGTAACAGCACTTTTTTGTAAAGAGAACATGTTCAATTATTGTAAAAGTCCCTTGACAGGTTCCACTCTATATCCAGTATCTATATTTATATTGTCTCTCAGATCAGTTAATACATTAATAGTTTATAACAAACGATTTTCTGTTTAAACTTAAGATAATTGACTTACTATCTAAACTTTGTTGAAAATTCACTGGAGGAAAAATGTTCATTTATTGGTTTTGCGAACTTTTTAAAAATTTCATTACCTTTCCATAGAATTTTCCATTAAGTGGTCTACATGATCTAGACTGTAATCGATTTGTTAGCTTTTAAACTGAAGAATTTAGTGAGCTCTAATATTATACAAGTTTTAAAAGATATTGAAAGATTTGTTGTGTTTTCTATTCTTTTTGTTGTTGTCATTTAATATTTTTTCAAACTGCATATTTTTTATGCTTATTAAATATCTTATCAGTTGCCTACCTACTCACCTAATTTGTTATTAATATTTCCTTTTTTTGTGTTGATCGCCTGCAGAGCAGAATGACAATCTATCTGTCCCTTCGTCTGTTCACAACTTGTATCTCGATTTATGTACATGTTAGAGATATGGCTTTGATATTTCGCACTAATATTGCTTCATATTATGATATTTGTACAATACCATGGTTCCCGCACCTCTTGACTCTTGAACTAGACCTTTAAGCTACTTTTTAGAAATAATTCATAGTGCCGATATACGGTATATTTTTTTGAAAATTGAAGACTAAAGTTTTTGACATTTTACATGGACACCGTTTGTCATAAAACCGTTTGTCATGATAAAACATTTTGAAAACCATCAGCCTTACAGTCCACATCTTTAATCCTTTTTGCAAAGAATATCTGCACCAGGCGTTTTAATTTTATTTTTAATATTTGAATTTTTAAAGTAAGATTTTGATCATTATTAGCATTTAAATAACATTTTCTGAGCTCATGATACAGTATGTTGAAAGTGTTTAAGGATATCCGATCCTCAGCCAGGAAGGATAACTTTTAAATTTATTATTTTATTAAAAAGTCTCAAAATGAAGCTTGAAATTGAGATCTTTTGTGCAACAATTTTCATTTTATGCATCTCAATATGATTCAAGGTTCTTTGGAGTCTAAGAAACGGTCTTGTAAAAAGTTGACATTTGTACCCCATAAAAGAAAAAAATGAATTCATTTTTGGAGAAATTGAATTTCTTTTAGTCTAGCATTAGATACCAATGCTTATTAACATGATATGAAATTAGATGTGATATGTGATGTCTAGCAATGATAACACAAGCTTCTTACACTATATATAATATAACAATACACGATCGAGTTTCGAGATTGTAACTCTCCTACGATAGAGGCGCAAAAAGTATCAGCATGGAAGTGGGACAGGTTGTTAATGTATACAAACTTGCATAAATAAAAGAACGATGGCTGTGGCTTTTAAAATTTATTTGATTCATAAAAAGATGATCATGCTAAGGAGTGATAATTTTGATGATTTTGTAAAGCTCTTCTATATATATTTACAAAAGTTACGTACAGTTAGGATACTTGAAAACGAAAGAACCGTACGTCATAGTCTTTATAAAAAATAATTCTTTGATTGTACAAACCTTTTCAAAAAAGTTATTTGACTCATTGAAGTTATTATAGGGAAAAGAGTCATTCAGAATACCGACGTACAATGATCAGGTGCGTGTGTATTTATTAGAGATCCATGTAGATCTATTCCCTCGTTTGATTTTTTATCCACTGATATTTTCTTTTGTTCCGATTTTTATTTTATTTTGTTCCGTTTTTTTTCGTAGAAAAATTGACCCCTTTACTTTAATTTGCTAATAAGTACATCCGTACATTCAGTTATGATAGACCGGTATACATCGATGATGTAATGTACCCAATATAAATAACTGTCCCACCTGCTTGCTTACACGGAAACAAAACTCCCCTCCATAATGAAAGAGTGCACTAAGGTAGATAATCTCGAAACTTGCGTATTGGAGTAAAGAGAACAATTAAAATACTGTATAAGCTTTAAAAAGGGTGCGATTTTCTCCAAATGCCTGGATAACTATATTTTTCTATCCTAAAATATATTTGTGGATCAATTTTCAATTAGATGGTGTTATCTGGTGTTTTTATTCGCATTTCCTAAAAACATATTTGAGATTTGATAATTTTCCCTATATAATATGATTTACTATAATTATGAGCTTTGCAAAAATACCAGGGGGTAAATTCACTTTTTTATGTGAAATCAGACATTTTATGAGCATTTTCTGTTTCTTAAAAGCTGATTTTCAGAATCTGAGGATCGGACTACCTTAATACACAATTACCACACATAAGCTGAAATGTACTGTATATTTTGATAATTTAATAACGGCTGTAACACGCCTCTTGATTTGGTCGGAAAATACGTTTATTTTGTTTAACCTGTGTTCCCTATCTCACAATGACTAACACAAAAGAAAATATTATTCTACTTGAAGTCACATTCAAATTTTATACAATTTGAATGCATTTAAAGGACAGTTTCATTCCTGTTAGGTTTAATGCCAGAAAATTAAATTAAATGTATGAGGAATGACTTTAATACATTAGCTACCCAAGTTATACTTCTATATTAAACTGGGTTGGAACAGTTTACGATCCTTTATAAAGCACATCAAAGTTTCTAAAGCGAAAACTGCCCTCACCCAGGTTACATAGTATATATTATGTAACTTTTAAATTCACACATCAAATAAACAATTTTCAAAGTTAATTTTATAAAAGTGAATTGTAAGGGGGAGTAACTTGCAACCTTAAATTCACCTGTAATTTGGGCTATTACGTTTTGAAATTGTTGATAATATGAGAAGAAAAACATAATTAGTTGGAACCAGTTCCTAGGAATCTGGAAAACATTCGGATCTTATATTCGAGAATGGTGGGTTTCCTCATTATACCCATATTCCATATCATGGAAATAAAATCTTTCATCTCACTTACTTTCACAGGAAAGGTATATATATAAATACCTTTTTTGCCAGGTGCCAAATAAAATACATAGACATAGTTATAAGTTTACCGTATAATAATCATCCACGATACTTTACAGAATTAGACAATTCAACAATTAACATATATATGTATGTTTTGTATATCATAATCATCATGATAAACAGGTGGTTACATTTTCATTTTACAGTCACAATCATTAATGAAATAATTCCGTGAAATGAATGGAAATGAATTCCATGAAATTAGGTCCTTCTCTCTTTATTTCCAATAGAAATTTAAAAATTCTTTCTTTGATATTTAAAACATCCTTTTCCATATATGTGGCATTCCAAAAAAATCGAACAAAAAGAATGTTATCTTCTGAAAGTTTCTCTGATGGCACCCTGAATTATCTCTCTTATAATGTATTAATGTGTCACTACATTTAAAGCCAGGCACTTTAAAGAATCAACATCATCTGCTTCATCTTCTAGTAAAATTCTTTTTAACACTTTTACACGATTCAGGACTGGATATTTGCATTTCCATTGATAAAAATTCCAATTTTATGTTCTTCAACACATATCGAGGAAATTTCCTTCATTCTACACCAAAACGAACAGCAAGTAGAGAGGAGCTGATTCCATGAAACCGCATTTGAAGTGAATTCTGCTGCTGAAAAAATGAGGTGAAAAGTAAGTTCTCAAAATTGTTTCCTTTCATTTCTAATATGAACTTTTACTCCACAATAAGGACATAATGTAAACATGGATATTTTAAGGCGTAAAATTTTGATATTTTTTTAACAGAATGTAATCATGGTCATTGGTTTTGTTATCTAACTTGAGTCATTTAATTCGCAGTAATATCCCTATGCATCTGATCAGTTTGATTTTCCTACGTCAAGATGAAATAAGAACAATTTTCCTGCTAGATGGTCATGAGTAAAGATTTTCAAGAGTGTAATGTATTTTAAAGACAGACACAGAAAACCATAATAAGGTCACACAAACCTACATTGTGGATCAATCCCCCTTTTCAAGATGCGTTAACTGACAGTATGTGATGATGACAAGGACTGTCCAAAAAGTTCACAAACAATGACATTGTTGCCAATTTGCATTAACCTAGGTACACATATTGCATACAAAAAGTTGTTTAACTTACTCGATACTAGTATTGAAAGAACAAACATACCCTAATTGAATACTGCGTCGTTTACAGTTGGGTCCTCAAGTGTTGGATGTGTAAAAATATCTTCGCCAAGACTGTCAATCAATCGCCGTGTTTGTCGTGGCATTAACCAGCAAAAGATTTCCTCGTCTTTCTTTGGGTAAAGCCATGATCTGCAGTACTCAGCTATATTTTCTTTTTCTGCCCAAGTCAGAAAAATATCCACAAATCTAGGATCTTCAGCAAATCTAAGAAAACTAGCATGTCTGAGTAATTCATGAGAAAACATAACTTCTGGGAGGTCAAATTTAAGTACTGGACAGTATTTCTCTAAATTGGCAAGACTGGATTCCTTTTCATATTTCTTGAAATTGAATGTTTCAGCAACAGCATTGTATTTTTTAATCCAGTGTTCTTCTTCCAGATTGATTTTGTAGGATTGGCATAGAAGAAGGCACATCAAAACTGCATCTCCATCTAGAAATTGTAAAACATTACAAATATATATTTACTAAATTTTATGTTTTCTGAAGAATTTTTACTTATCAAAGAGGTGAACTCCTTTTCCGTTCAAACAAAGACACAGTAAGTGTCATGTTGATATAAGTCACTTGGATTTCTCCTCCAGAAAGTCATAATTAGGTGATGTTTGATATATTATGCACCTGATCCCACCTCTGATGTTTTGGAGGTCCGTGTTTGCTCTGCTCCTATTTTGTATTGTTTAATGGACTTTTGAGCTTGAATACTGTTCGTTATCTCCATATATTTCATGAAAAAATGTCCTAATATTTCTTATCTGATTTTTGTCTTTTTGTCAACGAAGGTGTGTATTATGTTACGAATTTATGCTATGTGATGGATTATTATCTTGCATGACAACAAAAACAACAGAAAAAAATCGAGAATAAATGGAGAAAAAAACTTGCATAAAAGAGGCAGAAATATGTTACCATGACCATGGACTTATATGATCCCTTATTGTCATAGAACCCTGACCCTCATGATTCAAAATCTTAATTCGTACACTGTAATCATAAGCACTTTTACATTATGCACTGCTGTTCTTGAGAAGATTCTGAAAGATTTTTTTCCCAGTATATTCCAGGTAAAAGTTGACATCCTCTCGTAGTTCACCCTAAACCCAGCTGCAGGGGCCATGATTCAAACAATTTTTAATTTGCACTACTGTGGGTGCTTTGCATCCCTGTGACTTACTAGAACCCTCGAGATTCTTCTTCAAAAACGGTTACTCCAACGAATTCCTATCTTAAACATTAATATCCCGATGTGACCAAATAAAATTTTCAAAAGATGCCACCAAATTCGCCCTATTTCTTCGCAATTTCATCTTAAAAGAAAGTTTGCTCTTAATTTGTAAATTTTCATTACCCTTTACTTTTGTAGCAGATCTGTTGAAATTGACCTGTTGGTTCTGTGGAATATATAACAAAAGTGTGATGTTTACCCAGGACAAGACAACAAGCTATAAAAAGCATATAGCTCATGTTAGGTCAAAATATAATAATTGTACTTTTTTCTTTGTTCTGATTTTAAAATATAGATCATTTCATACCTTTCTTCGTGTGAATGTCCTCCAAGCTTTTCTGTACATCTCTAGAGTCGTGTCCACAATGATTTTCAGACCTACATACCCGACACAGGGGAAGCCCACATGGGACACAGAAGTATTGCAATATATCTCTGGGATGATCTTTGCATTTTGGGAGCCCTGCTAAAAGAATCAGCATGTTAATAAAAGACAAATTTAACTTGCATTCTCAGAATATTGTATAATCAATACTGTAGATCACCAGATTATCGCGAGACCTTATTTTCGCAAGTTATATATTTGGTATTTATAAGCAAGACATTATTTTCAAGATTGCTGGTTTCTGCTTTATATATTCTATGCTAATAAAAATAATTTTTTTACGAGCAGACCCTCTCGCGTAATTACGCAAAGTAAAATTCTCGCCACTAAAACGTGATTTACAGTACTGTGTCCCCTTGCAGCAGGATGTCTAGAACCCCTGAAAAACTAGTTTCTAATTTTAAAGAAGTAAAAGAAAAACACATGGTATTGAAACAACACCAGTAAACAGAATTAAAATCTCTGGTTTGGTCTCTTTGTTTGCCAAGTTTTATTGACGTCGGAATAAATGTGAGAAGTAACTTTTAGAGAGAATTTTAAACAAATTTCAATTTTTATTTCCCATGGCCAAACCATTCGTCAAAGAAATAATTATTCACATAATTAGGTACATTAGTGTAGTATTTTGAATCAAGTTCATTCAATTGTCAATTACCCTACCCTCTTTAAATGCAGATGAATGCAATGAGATATGAAGATAATGAACGGTTTGTTTGTTTGTTTGTTTGTTTGTTTGTATGTTGCTTAACGTCCCTCTCGAGAATTTTTCACTCATATGGAGACGCCACCACTTGCCGGTGGAGAGCTGCAAATTTTGTCCTATGCTCGGCACTTACGGCCATTGAGCAGTGAGGGATCTTTTTCTTGCCAGCACCTACTGCGACACGGGACCTCGGTTTATACGGTCTCATCCGAAGGACCGGTCTCCACGTCCCATATTGGGAGATAATGAACAGTAAGCATGCTCAAAAGTCGATTGAAACAATACAAATTGTAAGCGGAATAACACGAAACTTTTAAAAGTCAAACACGGGATCAGATGCCATGGAGGATTAAGCATCGCCTTTCAATCGTTTTAAAAAGACTTACCTGTCAAACAATCCCTGTATACATCAATAAAGCACATTGTAACTTACCTGTCAGTGTGTCCTTGTTTGTATATCTGTATATGACCATTGTGTTGTCGAAATCTGAACCAATCCAGAGTAGGTGTGTTCTGTCATCGAAACCAAGGCTGCAAAAGAAGTGTAACCCATCCTGTTGTGTCAGTATCTTTGACAGGAAGTTACCATTTTGATCAATCAATTCTACTGTATTTGTGTAACTATCACACACCAGGATGCGTGACAGCGCGTCTGTACATATTCCACGTGGGTGTAGAGAATATCCTGAAAGTCCTGTGTAGGAGAAGCGATATCTTCCTCCACGTTCTGTCACCACTAAAGCTTCAAGTTTCCAGTCAGACACAATAACGTCTCCATTGCGATTCTCTGTGAGGTAGATAGGTAGGCGATACAGTTCCTCACCTGTGTTCTTGTGTTCTATTGTCTGGATGTGTTGTCCTATGTTATTGTAACGGTTTACCTTGCCTGTCTTTGAATAAGTATGACGCATCCCGACCAGCAGGTCTCCTGTAGCTGAGGAGCTGTAGACACTCCATGCTTCCCATGGTGCTGTATGCTTTATAAATGTAATCTTTGCTTCATTGACTATAGACAGTTTGTTAATGTTATACTCACTATCTATATACATCAAATCTCCGTCCCTATTCACAGTATGTATTCCCCATAAATTAGCAATATCTGTCAGATGTTTTAGTTTTTCACCTGCTGTGTTTGTCAAGATGAGATTACTCCTATCACTGATCCAGACCCGGTCTGACGTCACAAGGGAAATGTGTACACTAACATTAACACCCGGCACTCTGAAACATCTTTGTCTCACTGCTCTAGAATCATGTTCAATAAAATTCATTTTTACTCGGTTTTTCTTGTGCGTTCTCTCAAAAACGGAATCACTTTTTTAATTTCCTCAGGAATATTTCTCTTTAACTCAAATAGAAGTGATGTCTTTAGATATGTGAAGTTCATACGTCTCTATTTACATAGATGCATGTAAACATATCGATTGAGTGTCATTCCTCATGATTTATAAAATATATCGATAACGTTTGCTTCTGCTCTGACGCATTTAAATGATCTGTTCTTTTGTCAAATTCATGGTTTATTGACTGCATACAAAATATCGACCATTAAGTTTATTATAAACAGGTTTTTTTAAATACCCGTACCTCAAGGCCATTAGTGCACTGGAGTAAAGCGGGCACAAAGTCATGTTTGTCGTTCTAGACTTTTCATTTTTGATTACAATATTAAACCAATCTTGAACAAAAATTTAAGACTTTAAGGAATACCCTAACAAAAAAAAATATTATAGTAAACTATAGTTAACTATAGGTTACAATGGTTAACTATAGTGACACTTTTGACACTATGAAATATAGTTCACTATAATGATAACTTTGACACTTTGATTTCCTATAGTAATAACTTTGATTGTTTTTTGTTTGTTTGTTGTTTAATTTTTCACTCATATGGAGACGCCACCACTTGCCGGTGGAGAGCTGCAAATTTCGACCTATACTCGGAACTCATGGCCATTGAGCAGTGAGGGATCTTTTTCGTGCCAGCACCTACTGCGACACGGGACCTCGGTTTATATGGTCACATCCGAAGGACTGGTCTCCACGTCCCACAGTGGGATTCGAACCCGCGACGTAAGGATCAACTCCTTACTCCGCGACTCTAGAGCAGACGCGTGTTAACTTTGAAAACTTTGATTAACTATATTGATTACTACCACACTAGAGAGATAACTTTGAAAACTTTGATTTATTACAGTGAGCGCTATAAAATCTTTGAGTTAATATATTTTTCATTTTATTGTACTTCATATGGTTGTGTATAAGATGATAACTCTAAAAATCTTGTTTGATGTACTTTACGAATTTTATATAATACGACTTCCTAATATAAAAAGAGCCAGTTACAATGAAAGGCAAACACTATTCATTTTAAAAATGTTTTCCGGTAGCACTCACTAAAAACAAAAGGTTTCAAATAGTAGAAAACTAAAAATGATATTCCATACAATGCATTCAATTATTGGACAAACAAGACAACAAAAAGATATCTTTGATAAATGAGAAAATCTACAAAACTTTTAAACATTTATGGTGTAAAAGTAAATGGGACTTCTATCACAGATGATTATTAATTACTGTAGTAATAAATTTTAATCATTTGAATTACTATTATAATAGTTATTGCTTCTAAATCCGATTCACTATAGTGATAATTATGACACTTTGATTCTCTAAAGTGATAATTATGACACTTTGATTTACTATAGTGATAATTATGACACTTTGATAATTATGACAATTTAATTCTCTATGGTGATAACTTTGACACTCTCGTGATTACTTTAAAAACTTTGGTTTACTATACTTTACTTTAGTTAACTATAGTAAACTGTAAACTGTCTATACGCTCCGTTTTTCTCTATCTCTGAGCCTGCACTCACCAGTGCCTTCATGTCACTATGAATGCAGTAACTAGTAATTAAGACGTGTATATATGAAAGATTATGCTAAAGAAATAAATTGTAGTTTTTATTGAAATCCTCTGGAGTAAAAAGAAATTCTAAATGATTAAAATTGCTGATCGAGGTGTATTAAACGTTTTTAAAATTAATTTTGATCTATGTATTAAATTGTATAATAAAACTTTCTCCAAATTAAACAGAGCTGCTTTATCTTTAATTTATCTGTACATTTTAAGGCATATAGTAACAGAGAACGATAACTGTTCAAGTGCGGGTATTTTAAGTTCAAAGCGAAATTTACGTGTCTATTTCAAGAGTGATATCAGCTCTTAAAATGAACTTAAATAAAAACGTTTTGAAGTTAAAAAAATAATTTTAAAAAAATCTCTTTTTCCTTTCACACAGATGGTCAATTTTTTGAATGATGACGTCACAACTGCATCAAAACAAAAATTGAGGAGAATGTTGAAGACGACGCTGTTTGTAATCAGATAAGGCGGCCTGGGTTAAGAAGCAAATATCGTGTTTATTGTATGTGATTTATTGGAAATATGGTGTTAAATCAGGCCAGGGTCAGAAGTTAAAACAGTAGGGAGATTGCTAAATATGCATAAGGCATTTTTACTACACTATCGAAAAATACTTGGTACTTGGTAAATGTACGTACTGAAATAATGCTAATTTGCAGGGAAAAAAAGCAAAGGCACTAAACCAACTCTCAGGACTTTTCAAAGCATTAGGGATATTATTTACACGTGTTTATAAATTCAGAATTTGTAGTGAAGGGAATATCATGATTTTTTCAGGGTCCTGTCTGTCTATCTTGTAGGTTAACATGCTATTTACTATTTTTTTCAGACATCAAACAGTTCAGACTTAAATATAATTTGTGGAATTAAGCCTTAGCCTTTAATGTTTTGTTACTCTTGAAAAAGAAATACAATTTTTTTTCATTGAACTTTTATTTATAACCTCAATAACCTAAAAGGAAAATGAATTGTAACCCTTCTTTATGTGCAAAAAGGTCACGATTCAGATTTTATACTTCAAGATATATATTTATATTTTTCTGACCAAATCTATTAATCATGATTAATACTGTCTTTGAGAATATATTTAAATAAATAGAATTGCCATGTTTATCACATTTTTTCTCGATATTTCAAACTTTTTCTATGTGCAAAAAGGTCAATTTAAAGTGGCTTTGACTAAGAAACAAGGTAGATGTCTCTTTTGATTTAGTATTTTAAGTATTCATCATAGTAAATGATAAAAAATATACTTTATGGAAAATAGAACATTACAAAATTTTCAGGTGCGTACCTCTTTAAAACTTCTTTACACATGCAGTCAATGCATACTGAACTATTATAAATATGTAATCATTGAAACAAGCTCTTCAATAATTATATTATTTTATTACCATGAACGTTATATAATTTAGGAAAGTGTCAAACAGTACTAATAAGGATGTTGTCAGGGATCTATCTTAAACATGATGCTATACTAATATATTCTTTATTTATAAAGATAACAATCAGTAAGCAAGCTCGAAAATCCATTGGAACAATACAAATGTGGAGAAGAGCAATCTCTAAAGAACCTCTAAAACATCAAAGTGGGAAGTATCATATGTTTAAAATCTTCATTTATCTACTTCGTGGAACAACCCATGAATGAAATTGAAAACTTTCCTCTTTATTTTCTAGAAATAAGCTCATTTTTGCTACAAGAAGGATATAATATTTTAACAAAACTCCTAAACCCAGCTGTTCAGAAGAAGCAAGCTGCTCAGAAAATTTTATGAAGTAATATTTTTTTTTATGTTATCTTGACGAACATTTACGCTGAAATATAATCTTTTTTATTTGTATTCGGAGTCTGAAAATATCATCTACATCATAAACAGGCAAATAAAATAATTATGCTTTTCAACACCTGATATGGGCGAGGCATGTTGTATTCTTATCACCAGAACACTGGTTACATTTCAGATAATGCTCCACTTATTTCATTCCCTGAAAACGCCATTTGAAACATCATGATCTGGTCAATTTTCTTTGTTTGTACGGTAAGATAAGTACATCTAATTTGTATTAGATCTGTATTCTAACACGGTGTATAAACGAGTGTAGTTCCACCATTCTGTTCTTATATGTTTATTAAGGTCTTTCGTTCTTAGCGAAATAAGATTTACCACTTAAAAACATGTTCCAAATCGTTCCAAAACGTTGTAGATGTATCTACAACGTTCCAAAACGTTGTAGATACATTTGTTTTTAATATGCTAAACACTACAAATTATTAATTAAATTATAGTTTCTGAATGTCGGGGTTGGTTTGGGGTCGAGATACAGATACTGCATGTGCAGAATTAATCTCTCTTGTGACGAGGTAAATTTATACTTTTTAAGTCCTCAATTACTGTTTTCTATGCTATCTGAAATGGTTGTACACTGAGATAATGAAGCAGAATAAAACTTGCTTGACGAGGTAAATAAACTTTGTTTAATATCTACTATATCGAAACTTTTTTTTTTTCAAAAATACTAATATATTCTTAATAATATGAAAATAATAGCTACTATATGTTATATTAAAATAGGGTTTTTTGTCTGTATATTGAAAGTTTAAAATGAAATGCGGCGATGAACATATTTTAATCACAATGAATTAGAAAATAAACTTTTTGAGATTAAAGACAATTGATTCTTCAATAATAATGGAACTCGGAAATTCCCATGACTTGTGAATGTTCTCAAGAAAGTTACTCTGTTAAAAATCGCTCTGATTCTACACACAAGAACTCTGATTCTATGATATGAAAAGGCTGTTTGAGTTCCTCATTAACAATATTCATGTAATCTTTGGAGACCACTTCTTCCAACAGTCTATTGGAAATTCGATGGGCATTAGTCGTGCTCCTTTATTAGCCGACCTGTTTTTATATTCATATAAACCTGTATTTATTCAAAAACTTTTACATGAGAAGAATAAAACTCTTGCTGTGGCCTTAAACTCGATATTCAGATATATCGATGACATTTTATCAATTAACAATTAGATACTTTCATTCACATGTTGACTCGATATATCCCAGTGAACTCGAAATAAACACCATTGAGTCTGCCACATCTGTTCCACATTTGGATATTTTACTGATTATTAAAGAAGATAAGGGCCAACTGAACAACTAAATTGTATGGCAAACGAGATGAATTAAGCTTTTCCATCATCTTGCATCTTTCCATCATCAGCTTACCCTCTTTACAGTCCCGTAAATTCTACTTTCTCAATTTTTCGTTCACCGTTTGTTCCGCGTACGTTCACTGCTTGTTCAGCCTGTGCTCACCGTGCGCTCACTGTTT